TTGGTAGCAGTAACATAATATTTTTATGTTATGCCAGCATATAACTTCTTTAAGTTTGTCGATTGGCGAGTGGAGTGAGCCTACTTAGTTGTTTGAATGGTGAATTTTCTCCATTTTATTTATAGTTGTCACCCATGCTGTAACGTTGTGAGTGATCTGGGTTCAAGTAGTACTCTCCACATGATTGCTACAATAATAGATTTTAGTACTGGTTATATACCCCTCACACAACAACTCACCACAACCCTACTGACACTAATGGAGTTCCCCAGATGCAAACCTGATTATACCCATACCTTGAACCTCTGTTTTAGCTCAAAAATATCTCAAATGAGTTGAAGTATGGAACCATATTAATTCCCCTGCAGCCTACCAACACAAAGGCAGCCCAGTTCCCAGCTCCCTTTTTAGCTGATGCCAAGAAGATGCAACATGCTTATCGAGTGAATAAATCCCATTCCCAAGCGCTCCTCCTGCAAGTCAACTAAAATATTTCTAAGACTACTACATACATGCTGGACACTTCTCTAAACATGACTAACACTCCCACACGAGTCTTGTGCCAAGCCCGCCCTGCCCACACGCGGAAAAAGGCAGTCTGGGATCTTTAGTCCATTTTATTGGCACTGGAGCACAATTTTGGAGGGTCCAATCAGATTGCAGGATTTCGCTTGTCTCTCAAGTATCATGTGACGCATGTTCAAACTCACATAACAACAAGTAAATTAAAAATCCAAGAAAATAGGCATATAGGGATGGTATAAAAAGAAAGGGAGACAAGATAGGGATGGGATACATGAAGCACGGTGAACAGATTTGAGTACGCTGACACCCCCAACCCCATCACACAATCCCTATAATTATTGTTGCCTGGTGTGCTACTCTTATAGGGGCTAAAGGTTACTAAAAGCAAGCATTCTTTCACCGTGTCCCTTTTGTTTTTTGTATACTGCCACATTCCCTTTAATTAAACTCCACTTGGACTCTATAAGGGTGTTGGTTACTCAGTAGTGTATTGTAAGTTCTGAGTATTGTAATGGTGAATGTTTTAATACTTCACCTAGGCAACAATATAGGGATTGTGTGATGGGGTTGGGGTGTCAGTGTGCTCAAATCTGTTCATGTGTCCCATCCCTATCTTGTCTCCCTTTATTTTTATACCATCCCTATATGCCTCTTTTAAATTCGCATGATTTTTAATTTACTTGTCTCCACTCATTTTTATATACTACTACGTATTATCTCTGTGGAAGGGGGCAAGCCCCTTTAAAAATTAATAATAGAGGGAAAAATGCCTGTTGTCGTCATGGAAATGATATGCATACCATGTTTCATCTCCATGTGTGCTGCCGTTAGCAAGTTTGAGGAGTGAATGGGATTTATTCACTCGATAAGCATGTCACCTCTAAAAGTTCTGTATGTAGTCACAGTAATTGTGAGCCCCAGAAAGCCAACTTTTGATGCGTTTTCTATCAGCCAGTAGGCAGAAGAAAGCTTGGATATGAAACACTGTACGTTCTTTTATCTCGTTGATAAAGAAGTATTAGAACAGTGGAAAGGCGGAAAGCTGTATCATGTACAATTTACAACACTTCGAGCATGGGAAGGGGAGAAATTGAAGGTAGGAAGTGCAATGCTACAGATTATGATAGTTAGTTTGTTTTTTCTTTCACTCTTGTGCTTACAAGAATGGGGTGGGGGAAGGAACAGTGAAATAGTGGCAGGAAAGTGGTGAAGATGGCGGTGGGTGGGTGAGTAAACAAACGGCAAAAGTTGATAGGGATAGCTGTAGTGAGTGATGTAAGCGAGTAAGCACTGGCAGTGATAGGTAGAAATAGAGATACATAGAGACCATGTCCTACCAATAAGTTGTTTGCAGGTTTATATGCTTTATCTCATTGTGTAGTGCGTGCTCCAAGAGACCACATCTTTTATCTGACATTCCCGAGAGAAGTGACCACAGAAGATATCAAAAATCTCTTCAGTCCTTTTGGTAGGTGTAGAAAACTAACTTACCAGTATGGAGTATCTATAGTTATCATTGGGCATTTAGTTTCAGAACCCCACAACCACATAATATTGTTAGTACTAGGGAGTTATTAAAAGGGAGAATGCAACGTGTATATACTGTGTTCACTTGAGCAGGTGGCTGCCGAGTGTCATGGATCAATGAAACTAGTGCTCGAGTTTCACTCCATCATAGAAAAAAAGCAGAAGAAAGTAAGTGATAATACTTTATTCCTGTTTTGTTATGATGTTGTGGTTTGTTTTCCTTAGCATACAAAGCTCTAGCAGGTGGAGGTTCGATGGGTGAACACCTATTCATTATTTCTAAACAGCAGTTAAAACCACCCACATCTACTACCAACAATGATGAAACTTCAGAGCAATGTATGATACTTGGGAAAAGAAAGAAACTGGAAAATACTTCTGAAGGTAAATGACAATCAATACAGTTTTGTGGAGTAGTGTGGACATCTTGCAACTAGAGCCACTCTAGTCTGTGGCCTTTTCATCCAGAGCATTCTTTCACTTGCAGCTCCACCCACTACCAAGATGAATATGTTCCAAGAGAGTGTTGACTGGTAGCTAGATTTTTATACGTTTACAAGTGAATTCAACCATGATTTCTGTAAGCACTGGTAAGCTTTTGCATGTGGAGAGAGACCATTTTGTGAAGACTCTAGCGTTTTGCGTAATGGCTGAACCACATCCTTAGTTGGCTGCATTCTAGCTACAGGGGAGTAACTAGAAACACACCCTGCGCGGCGCCACTTATAACATACTACTGCAATATGTTTTGTGTCCAGTAGCTGGCTTAAGTAAGACTAAAATTGGAAGAAGGGAAGCTCCAACAGACAACAATCTCTTCCTACCTGTTCTCTGGTTTTGTCTAGCTTCATATTAACGATACAACACAAGACAAGAGAAATTCTGTGTAGAAAGTTAATTCACGAGTCGGAAGCTACTCAGTACGTACATATCTCATGCACTACTAAGACACCTGCAGTTGCAGTTGTATAGCACACGCACTACTGTCATAACCTCTTTTCCACCTCCTCGAACACCTGCTTTGGTTGTCAACGCTAGCAAGTGACTAACCCTTGTAAAGTTACGCTTTGTCTAATCATTTTCAATTGACAAAATTTATGATACTGCTATACTCAAGTACACTTTCTACTCAAAGTGCTATGTATAAAAGTGGTATTTCCCTAACCAGCTAACTACAGCACACAAGGTATTACTAAAAAAAATTAAACAGTAGTGACTTCATACAAACAGTCAGTTTTATCTATTTCGCCTGGATACTCATCTGCAGAGTCCTCAGAGTTAATTCCAGCCCTTTGCCTTCTCAGTGACAGGCTGCAAAGGCAAACATGATGCGTTCAAAGCATTCATAGACACTCAAAGTTGCATTGATGTGGTTCTGTTACTTAGCCTTGCAATCTATAGTACTTACCATGACTATGAACATCGGAGGAGAAGAGACTTACAAATGACTGATATTGAACTTAGAGCCATGGCAGCCGCTGCCATCCAGGGCTGCAGGGTTATTCCTACTGGAGTTAGGACACCAGCTGCTATTGGCACCCCAATAAAGATATAAAGTACTGCCCAAAGGAAATTGGTTCTGATTTTATGAACAGTTCTCCTTGACAGTTTGATTGATGATATCACATCCAGCAAATTGCTGTATAAGTAAAATGTTCAGCAAATAAACTCAAAATTTAAAATACACTAATATAACAGTGTTGTCACCCATGAGGGCTATTAGGAAGCTATTTATGGGTGTGGAGAAAGGGCTTTATGGCCGGGGAAAAATTAAGTAAACTGCCTGTTTAGTCCAAGCTCATCTTTTGTAGGTTAATATATTTAAAATGGTTAGCCTCAATATGTGGATTATAATAATCAGTGTGTGACTGTTTGCGGACTAAAGTTAACATTATCCTAATGTTTTTGTAAGGATGGCTGAGGTCTCTACGTCCATGGGTTCCAACTAAACATGAGATACAGTGTATAGCAGACGCAGTGTAGGCACACCATACTGTCTCAGTGTGTGCAAGGTGTCGACACCAGGCAAAAAGGCAAAGCATTTGTCATGTATAAGATGCAACTTAGGCAACTGCAAACCTTCAACCCATACTCAAGTGTCAATACAGATATCAGGACAAACTGAGTACATATGCTCAGCACCAAACGTTTTACACATTGAAAATGACTCCATGGTGCACTGAGCCTTAATTAGTATCGTCGGCTTTACCGTCATGTTTTATGCCAGAGTTCTCTCAACTCAGGAATCATATCGCCCATTTAATAAAAGCCACGCTAGATAGAACAGCACGGGTGTCATTGGTATCGCTCTTTTGGCCACTGCAGTACCAATAGTTCTAACAGCAAATACACAAAGTTCTCACCGGGGTCAATGATATGCCCCTACGTTTGAGTAACGATTTCTTTCTCGTCCTTTAGGATATACATTAAGATATACCTTTACAAGAACAACATCTGCCTCTACAAGCGATTTCAGTTCGAGTGCCAGGCAATACCAACATCAGCTTGAGCCAGCTGGACTATTGTTTGATGTCCATCCCCCACCAATGCTACCTTGGAGAACATAGAATAATCCTCTGTGATTAAATTCTGATGTTCCTTTCAAACCTGCACCCCCAATAGATTTTCATTACCATTTCAAGTTTCCCCCGCTCTGATATCATTTAACTAAGTATGTAAAGAATAACCTCCCTGGAATCAGATGTTTTTGTCATAGGGTTGCACAATACAAAGCCCCATACTCTTTGTACGAATAAGCAATTGCATAGTATATATACATCAGTTTCTTCAGCACACATGCCTACCTTTGCTCTTAGTGTATACCCAAAGTCCCCTAGAAGTGCTTCCAACTTTTAGAAATGTCTCCTTGGCCAAGTTACTGTTTCGCCATAAAACAACCCGGCACTTTTGCAAGCAAGAAAGCATTTTTGTCTGAAAAGTAGGATTTCAGGGAGGGGACCCGCGCTAGCCCCAGGTGCGCATCATACTGCGTAACCTACAAAACTGCCCCGAAGATCCGGCCCACAACTGCACGGGACTCGATGTTTAGTCGAACATGGTCTTGACAAGTGTGCAGCAACTCACGTTGCACGGGACAGTCATATGCGTAGCACAAGCCTCATCTATAGTACACATGCACAGCCCAAGCAACACAAGTGTTGCATGAGGGCAGATTTATACGCAAGACCAATACCTGTGACTGGGTAGACCGACGTAGACAGAGGGTAATCCCAATCGGAATCTGCTTCACAAACTACAGAAACTCCGTCAGAGGGGCGAGGGACGGCGCGGCGAGCAGCAGCCGCCCCGGTGGAAACCACCTAGACGACTGGCACCAGAATCACGGAGGGCATGACAGCGAAGACTGGGGACGAGCCACTCGCCGGAAGAGTAGACTGAAGCGCGTGCATAATCAGATGCACTCTAGCGCCGCCGCGTACCTACACCAGGCCACGCGCCCGCCAACGCCAACGCCACAGCAGATGATGCGAGCCAAAGGCGAGAAGACGCCACGCCAGCGGTCAAGAATAGGGCCCGGGTGAGCTAACCCGGAGAGCACCTGCATCATGCTTTCACTCCCTGACGCCTTCGAGACAACACTGGAGCCGGGCGACGCGCGAGCTCTACCCGCTCGTCGACAAGACCGACCTGCACCCGCCAAACCCAGCAACGACTGCCTAAGCACTTGGCTAGGCATAACTATGTTTCCTATCGCAGTATTTGTCCTGAAACCCTCATTGCAAAGCCAAAAGCTTAGCCATGCCATTGACCACGTATGGTTGAAGTTGCAGGGTGATTGTGTAGGTGACAGCTACTTCCATAAACACAAGTAGACTTCAGCACATGCATAAATACGGACACAGGGCCATAAACCGCAGCAGGAGATATTTTTCATGCATGACCGTGTATCTGAGTTCAGAGGAAAACTGTGTACACCTCAAAGGGAGCTAACCTTAATGTTCCCTTTTTGGAAAAAGTAACATTGTCTTTCTTATGAGAAGGTAGCACCTCAGCACAAATATTTCCCTCTGGTATTCCAACCTGTTAAAAAAGTGCAGGTCAGTACCTGGCCATACATATGCAATACTTACTTCTTGTGCAATTGCCAGTGCAGTTCTACGGTTATCCCCAGTGAGAAGAGCAACCTTTACATTCATGGACTGCAGACACTTGATTGCTTGCCGAGCCTCAGGTTTGACCTTATCGTGAATTACTACTGCTCCCACCAGGATACCTGCATAACCGCAATTTGTTGTACCAACACAGATAACATGAACATTAACGTTTTGCATCCATTAATGCTTAAAATATTGTGTGTGCAACATACATAATATAGCAATGAGCATTGGGTGCTACAAAACTGCAAAATGAGTTCTACTCTGCCAAGCACTGAGTAACCTCGACCAGGTTTTGTGTCGACCCTACTATGAACAAGTAATACGTCAAGTCATTGGTAGTGTTTGGGGCAACATTGGACTACCTCTAAGTTGCCTCCACTGCACGCGGAAGTTGCGTACAGAAGGTTAGGTAATACTAAATCTGTTAAGATTTGCTGATTTATTTGTATGAACCGGTAGCTCATAACATACCAGCAATGGAAGTCAGTACAACTGTTTGTCCCCTCTGTTCATATGAAGTTATCTTTCGTTCCAATTCCTGATCAATATCAATACCATTTGACGTCATCCACAACCGATCTCCAATCAGAACATGCATGCAAACATGGTTGGTTCGCATAAAACAATCCATTTTGACTCTTGGTGTAGTGAAAAAGTCCTTATAATATGCTTGAATTCCCGATCAACCATCAATGAGACCACCATGTATATACATATATAGGAGCATACATTAGTAATCATGGTAACAAAGCAAACATAATAATATAAACAGTGATGTAAGAGAGAAATGGGGGAAATTTCTTGTTTTTTGTCCTTGTCCTCCAGCTGAAGTTATAACATGACACACATATAATGATACATATTATAACAAGACATGAGATCAACTCAAATCTAGCAGTGACATTTTGCTAGTAGATAAGAGAGACTTGGGGATTTCACCTCCCCATGTCACACCTGGTATGTATGGTCTAGGTCCACCAGGGGTTGGTTGGTTGGAGAGCCAGTAACTGGTAGTCTCACGCACTGAAGGAGTGCTGTTTTATCTACTACAGAGGGCAGGGCCGATAACTTCACACTGCAGCTGAGGCCAAGACCAGGTTCTGCATGATAATTAGTGCACACTCCACTCAGTCCATCTCCGAACACCTAATTGGTAATTTTATGAACAAGTATGTAGATATGATGTGCTTAATATTGTTGTAAAGCTGCACGAATTGCTGTAGTCACGGAAGAGGTCAACTTTGAACTGCTTATACTGCTACAGCTACTAACATGCACGGCAACCGTGCTTGTAGAAACTTTGACTAGCTATATACTTTGTATGAGAATTCCCACTTCATTCCGCTTTCTGTCGGTCAATATTGAGGAAATTTGTATTACCCATTGGGAAGTAAAACAAACTTGGGTGAGTAAGTAAGTAGTGGTACATATGAAACTGTCCCTGGTACCCAAAGCCTGGGCACGCACTGTGCCTTTTTTGCTAGCTGGATCTCAGATGATGCTGCACTGCAATATTTGCTCTATATACTTTGGCTGCTGTGTTTCTGACTATTTTTTTGCAATACGTATACACATCCATGCAAATACTCCGTACATAATCGCCACCATTATGAGCTTGCTGACACATTAGTCCTACCTAATTAGTAAGCTGTTATGATTGTGCAGTTTGTTGAAGCCTAATTGATACCTTTTATTTTTAAGGTAAAATGTGGTTTTCATAAAGAAAGCTCACCTTTTTAGCAAAGTTGGATATTGCGAGTCCAAGTGGATGCTCACTGCAGCACTCTGCCAAGCCCACAACACCAATAAAGGTCCTCAAGGGCAGCATAGCCTCCGACACACTCTTTATTACACAATTCACCTCTGGCTTGCCATAGGTCAGAGTTCCAGTCTTATCAAACACAACAACCTTTATCTGATAGGTGAAATAATCAAGGTAAACTGTCTGATTGCTCCAGGGAGACATACAACACAGTTGACCTTCGGTACTCCACTACCACTTACTTTGCACAGGTTCTCCAATGGCTCTCCTCCCTTTATGAGAATCCCCTTCCTGGCTCCAACTCCTGTACCCACCATCACTGCAGTGGGTGTGGCCAAGCCCAGGGCACAGGGACAGGCAATCACAAGTACTGAAATTGCATGAAGGAATGCTAGTGCCACAGAGTAGCACTCAGTCTCTCTGGAGGCCAGTGTGTCGTTACTCGAGACGTTTGTGCTGTTGAACTGCAGAGAATTAGTGGATGTCATCATAATTGGAAATAATGTCACATAACCTCAAGTGAATATTGCGTATAAATAATTAATGTGCAGTACATAGGTTCACTTCACTTACCATTGTGATCACATGTATATTAAAGCATTTGTCTTTTGTCTTTTATTTTCTTCATGTGTGCATGTTACCCAGGGCGGGTCCTCGGGGCTTGGATTTGTGTACTGACTTGTCGGCACTTTTAGGCTACCGTATACACCTATTATATATCTTATACATACTGTTGTGTCATCTTTAGTTCCTATACAGACACCGATGGCTGTCATCCATCCAGCAAATGTAATCAAAGATGATGCCAAAATGAATGGCACAAACACTCCAGCAATTCTATCAGCAATACGTTGAATAGGTGCCTAAAATGTGATGAAAAGTAATTTCCACTGATAACAGCATCACCATGTGACAATGCATGCAGAGAACCATACACTCAACCATTATGACACAGCAAGAAAGGAAATTAAACTTAGTAGAAAATTTACAGGTTCTGGGGCTGCATAAATCTATGTTTACATACACTTATTATAACCTTTGATGTCTGTGCTTCTTCAATAAGGTTAACAATCTGTGACAACCTTGTATCAGAGCCAACATGGGTAGCCTCTGTTACAAGTGCACCATTCTGGTTAATGGAGCCTCCAATGACAGGGTCTCCCTCCCTCTTGAGAACTGGCAGAGGTTCGCCAGTGATGAGGGACTCATCAATCATAGAGGTCCCCCCCACCACACAGCCATCCACTAGGATCTTGTCACCAGGTACAATTCGTAACTTGTCACCCTTTTGCACCAAATCCACACTGATTCTTTCTTCTCTGAATTAACAACAATACAACATAATACCTATGACAGCTGATTACCTACCTGAAAAAGTTTTCATCATCATGAGAAAGCAGGACAGCCTCTGTTGGTTGCAGTGATAGGAGTTTCTAGAGAGCATTTGTAGTTTGGCCCTAATCAGTAGAATATAGAAAGTGTCACATCAACAAACACAATGATACACTTCCACACAAGTTATCTACTATTGGACTGGGAATTTATCCACTAGCTCTTACGAACATTTCTGACCACCAGGGATTTTAAAAAATCATGTACATCAGGCACGTGCTGCTGAAACACTCATTGGCGTCATGGGATTCCTTTTGAATGCACAGTCACACACAGCTAAGTTGTACCTTGGCTTATATGTTCCAGCAGTTCCCCAAGTGATATAAAGAGTAAAAGAAGTGGACCACTATCAAAGAAGAGCTCATAATCCAATCCAGTGACCATGTTTGTGATCAGAGCAGCAACCGAGTAGACATAGGCCACTGATGTGGCCGTTGCAATCAACATATCCATGCCCATTGACCTGTGAGCCAGGCTCTTGAAGCAGGATTTGTAAAACGGATAGCCAACAACCACCTTTAGACACAGAAAAAGAAAAGTGTGACATTATTGACAATCCAAGAATTTGTGTTGCTGTCGAGCATCCTGGACAGATTACGAAGAGTCCTAGAAACTCACCAACCCATGACAAAGACTTGATATGGGTATACACTACTATTGAGTGAGCTGTGTCCGTCACAAAAGTGTATGCGTACTTGTATAAACAGTTTACACAAGTACTAAGTACCCACACACTTCCTGGACTTCATACCTAAACCCTTCACCTTGCACCCTGAGTAGCAGTCATAACTGTTTACACATAGCGAGCACATTACAAGTCAGTCAGGCGTGGTAGCACGCGTTTGCTTTAGTTCTAATACCCAATGAAACGTGGAACAGACCCCACTCGTTGCGTGCACATTGTAACTTTTATTGACATGGTTTATATTGATAATTATGCACTCAAATCTGACCTGAATAATGGTAGAAAAGAGGAAAAGAAGCAAATCGACAACAGACAGGCCTCTTGTAATGGGCCACCACTCTTGAATGGTGCCGTTGTTTGATTAATGTTTTGGAGCAGGTGTGAACTTCAGAACAAATGTAGGAACGCCAACTAGCAGAAGTAAGACAGCCCATCTGTAAAACATGTTCAACCACAAAAGTACCAGTGTATTACAATAGTTGCAGATCGGTGTATGATGGTTTTATACTACACTTGTGACTTGTTTAAGTAGACCACGTGAGGAGATCACTCATGCATTACCTAGGTTTGCTTGCGGCTTTTGACTTTGTCCTCTAGACAATAGCCAATGTCCAATTCTCATCTGTGCTGTTTTTTACCATTATGTAAATAATCACCGCACGAACAGGACCACTCTTGCCCCCCCCAAACACCAGCATATACATAAAGGCTACTGACCGTCTAAGAGTCCTTTTTTGAGAAAAATTAAGTGTGGGATCGGACGGTATAAGCATAGCATCATGGCCAACTGCCTACGATATGAATAAAGACAGGTTCAGGCAGTTAGTTGCAGCAAATGCACAAGTACACACACAATATTCATCACATCAGAAGAATGTAACAAAAATGATATTTTCACATTCTAATAGAATCGGTTAGATAAAACGGTCCCTTGCATGCTTTGTCCAATATCTTGTTTGTACATACCTAAATGTTCTTCAGGACGTGTCTGACCCCCACTGTGCTGGGGTCAAATTTCACCTGGACCACTGAGTCAGAAGGTGACACCTTCACATCTACAATCCCTTCCACCATTCCAAGTGATGTTTTCAGAATGTCTACTGCTTGAGCTCCTTTCAAATCCACCTGAGAAAGAGACATTAAGCAATTATTTAAACACTAATAAACAGTTTCGAATCACTCTGTCTTGTCCAACCAAGGAATAATATTAAGCACAGCCACAGAAATGAGGGAGGAAAGGGAACTTTTTAATGTTGTAGCTAAGTTCAAAGTAATAATTAAGCACCCTCTATACCTTGAATCTGACGGTGGTGAACTCTGTCCTAGTAGTGACTGCAATAAGGTTAACATAAAACCCCAAGGAAGCAATGTCCTTCGTTAGAATGTCAGAATCAGTGAGGTTTTCATCAAACTCGACTGTGGCCAATTCGGACAAGAGTGCCACTTGGATGGAGTGAACCCCTGAGAAACGTAACATAAAAATTATTTTCACAAATAGGCAAAAAGCACAATGAAAAATGCCTGCTAGCTAGCTAGCATGTTGTAATGGTAAAACTCCTGGTGTGTGTAAAATGTTTTATGCTAGTATACCAATGTTTTGCTGCTAAGTGTAGGGATGTACCATAAAGTCACGTTTATGATGCTTATGCCTACATTTTGTTATTAATTAAGTGGAGGCGGGGGAGGGGCTGTGTGTTAAGATGACGCCTTATCTGAAAAGGGATTAAGGGCAAGCAATGCTTCCAGAACTTCACTCTATAATATCCAGTAAAGGATGTATGTATTGTCAGCAGTACTTTCCCAGTACCTGTTTTTCCTGCAATATATTTCTCAATCTTATTCACACAGGAAGCACAAGTCATGCCCATCACTTTGAACTTTGCATAAGCTCTCCCAGTCTCCTTCACTGTAACTGGTTCCTTGACAGGAGAACCTGGAAAATACACTTTCACAGTTGAAAGAGTAATGGTGTCATTGGCAGTGCATTCAGCTCCTTGGAGAGAATGCCAGGTAAACCGCAATACACATGCTCCATCCCTGTAGCCAGTGTAAAAGGTATTTGAGACAAACACTCTGTGTACAAAAGAGTATATACACCTTATTCAGAATTCAAAGTCAGCTACATAATATAAGTGGGTCTTATGGATGGTGCATGCTTTCCAAAGATATATATCATTTGAGCTTCATAAAACAGAAATTTTGGCACACTGCAGTGAGGGAAACTATCCCTGTCAACACAAGCTAAAAAGAGCTAGAGCGTAGCAAATTGGCCTGGAGCATGTAAAGTAGAATCCCACTTGAGGGGTGCCCAGTCCAGCAACTTCGTGCCAACGGCATCTTGTGCCCCTCTGATTTGTGATTTGTAATGTCCTTTTCCTCTGTTCATCTTAACATGCTCTGTCTAGTGTACCTGTCTGATGCTACCCTGCCCTATAAAACAGGAAATTACCCAACACCTGAAAGTAGCTACAGGGGGAAGTGTAGTATAAAGTACAGGGGGAAGTGCAGTACAAGTGCACTACAAAGTACAAGGAAGTGAACAAGTCTTTTAGCTATGCCTCATGCTACTATATAAAGACAGTGGGAGTGGTCCGGACCATTCCTCCCTATTCAATTCATTACGCAGGCTAAAAGGCAATGGGTTATCATTTAATTATTGTTACCTTTAGGATATAGGAAGTCATTTGTATTGCACCTCAGAGCAACACCTAAGGATTGCAAAATGATAAAAAGCAGATGGTGTAATTAGCAGAGGAGTAATCGGAACGATAGGGTATAGGACGGGGAAAAGCCTTTATGCGCATAGTTTGCGCACGCGCGGACATCGGTGGAACCGGAAGTGGGGGGGTCTACATACTACACACAGCGGTTTTACTATGGATCGCACGTGAGCCCCGCGCCTACTACTGCATGCTGCTGCTCGTTAATTGCATGTACAACAGAATGCTGAAGCGCTATTCAGCATTCTGTTAATTGTATAATGATTAGTAAACAGCAAGGAAAACTCGACAGACAACAAAGAAAAAAAATATATATATATATTAACAATTAACAATTGCACCGACAATTGCACCGCCATCCATCCCTTCCCCCTTCCATCGACGGTGTAGTTTAATTTAATTTATTATTGTATAATTCGTACACGCGCAATTAACAAGCGCGCGCACGCGCGCAGGCGCGGGGCTCACGTGCGATCCATAAAGCACTGTAGACCCTCCCCACTTCCACCGATGTCCGCGCGTGCGCAAACTATGCGCATAAAGGGTTTTCCCCGTCCTACTATACCCCCTACATATACTCGTGCCGATTACTCCGATCCTACACCACGTCGGAGATTATCCTGGTGAGTAAGTATCGCTGCCGGCGGCGGGGATTAAAATAATGGAACGACTAGTCAACCAAAGAAACCACGTTGCTGTAATATCAGTACATGGCATGACATGTAATTCTTGTGTGGATCTCATCCAGCACGCAGTATGTCAGCTGAAAGGCATCAATGTTGTCAAGGTAAGGATTGTTTTCTGGGGGATAATGATTTCCCAATGACTGTTGATTGGTATAATAATGAGTGTTTTAGTATCCGCCTTAGAAAAATATTTTGAAATGTGTCATCTTGAGATTTCGAATCAACTAATGTCGTGGCTAGGTATAGGCTAGGTCGGTGAAATTTCATCTGAATTTCCTTAATTTTATTGTATTTGCTTCCAGGTTAGTACTCCCAGATAGCTTTGAAAAAGGTTCGACTAGTCTAACTCATCAACATATGTACGCATGATATTGTTTCCTATTATCAACATAAACATTGAAAGCATCATACCTGTCCATAGACTTTCAGTTGTGCAAAGGTTACCATGGTATGTGCTCTGTAGGTGAATTTGAGAGATGCACAAGCTGTGGTTGAGTTTGACCCTAAAATCTTCAAGCCTGACAATATTGCTAGCATAATATCTGACATGGGTTACACTGCAGCAGTGCAGAAGGAGTTCAAACATTCATCTGCTTTTTATCAGCCACCTTTGGCCTCAGAACATCACAAATCCACCGTCATTCATGTGGAGGGAATGGTGTGCATCAACTGCGCTCAGATTATAGAGTCAAATCTTCGGAAAAGGAAAGGAATCGAGCATATTTTAGTCAGTAATGAAGAAAAGGTTGCCCACGTGCTATATGACACTAATGTTCTCTCTATTGAGAACATTTGTTCTGCCATTGAAGATCTTGGCTTTGAAGCTACATCTACAAGTGCCCAAGTGGATGATGTAATTCGTCCAACCCCAATTCAATATGCCCATGATCAGCAGTCGTGTGTTATTAGGATTGAAGGCATGACCTGTTCCTCATGTGTCGAACAGATAGAATCAAAACTTAAGGAATTGGAAGCTATTGAGTCTATCCAAGTAACACTTAAAGAGAAGGAAGCAAGGATAGCTTACAATGCAGGTCTTACTACTCCAAAGGAAATAGCTGCAGTGATCTGTGACCTGGGTTACACTGTCACTGATGTTGATGGTAGGTGTGTACTCTATTGTGCAATTGACACAAAATTTCGCAATCCTTAGGTGTTGCCAGTACAAATGACTTCATATCCCCTAAAGGTAATAATCATACTATTTTAGCCTGAGTAATGAGGGAGGAATGTTCTAACTGGGTCTGGACCACTCCCACTGTCTTTATATAGTAGCATGAGACATAGCTAAAGACTTGTACTTTGTAGCGCACTCCCTCCCCTGTACTTTGTACTACACTTCCCCCTGTACTTTATACTACACTCCCCACCTGTAGCTACTTTGTTCACTTCCCTTGCACTTTCAGTTGTTGGGTCATTTCCTGTTTTATAAGGCAGGGTAGCATCAGACAGGTAGGACACTAGACAGAGGATGTTAAGATGAACAGAGGAAAAGGACATTACAAATCACAAATCAGAAGGGCACAAGATGCCCTTTTCCCTTGTTGGCAAGAAGTTGCTGGACTGGGCACCCCTTCAAGTGGGATTCTACTTTACATGCTCTGGGCCAATTTTCTATGCTCTAGCTCTTTTTGCTTGTGTTGACAGGGATAGGCTCCCTCACTGCAGTGTGCCAAATTTCTGTTTTACGAAGCTCAAATGAAATGTATCCTTGGAAAGCATGCACCATAAGACCCGCTTAGCTGACTTTGAATTCTGAATAAATAATGGTGTCTATATCTTTTGTACACAGAGTGTTTGTCTCAAATACCTTTTACACTAGGCTACAGGGGTGGAGCATGTGTATTGCGGTTTACCTGGCATTCTCTCCAAGGAGCTGAATGCACTGCCAATGACATCATTACTCTTTCAACTGTGCAAGTATGGTTTATTTTTCAGGTTCTCCTGTCAAGGAACCAGTTACAGTGAAGGAGACTGGGAGAGCTTATGCAAAGTTCAAAGTGATGGGCATGACTTGTGCTTCCTGTGTGAATAAGATTGAGAAATATATTGCAGGAAAAACAGGTACTGGGAAAGTACTGCTGACGATACGTACATCCTTTACTGGATATTATAGAGTGAAGTTCTGGAAGCATTGCTTGCCCTTAATCCCTTTTCAGATAAGGCGTCCTCTTAACACACAGCCCCTCCCCCGCCTCCACTTAATTAATAACAAAATGTAGGCATAAGCATCATAAACGTGACTTTATGGTACATCCCTATACTTAGCAGCAAAACATTGGTATACTAGCATAAAACATTTTACACACACTAGGAGTTTTACCATTACAACATGCTAGCTAGCTAGCAGGCATTTTTCATTGTGCTTTTTGCCTATTTGTGAAAATAATTTTTATGTTACGTTTCTCAGGGGTTCACTCCATCCAAGTGGCACTCTTGTCCGAATTGGCCACAGTCGAGTTTGATGAAAACCTCACTGATTCTGACATTCTAACGAAGGACATTGCTTCCTTGGGGTTTTATGTTAACCTTATTGCAGTCACTACTAGGACAGAGTTCACCACCGTCAGATTCAAGGTATAGAGGGTGCTTAATTATTACTTTGAACTTAGCTACAACATTAAAAAGTTCCCTTTCCTCCCTCGTTTCTGTGGCTGTGCTCAATATTATTCCATGGCTGGACAAGCCAGAGTGATTCGAAACTGTTTATTAGTGTTTAGATTGCTTAACTTTACCAATGTTCTCTTTCTCAGGTGGATTTGAAAGGAGCTCAAGCAGTAGACATTCTGAAAACATCACTTGGAATGGTGGAAGGGATTGTAGATGTGAAGGTGTCACCTTCTGACTCAGTGGTCCAGGTGGAATTTAACCCAAGCACAGTGGGGGTCAGACACGTCCTGAAGAACATTGAGGTATGTACAAACAAGGTATTGGACAAAGTAATGCATGCAAGGGACCCTTTTGTCTAACCAATGTATACTTTAATCTTTGCCAATTTTAGAGTGTGAAAATATCGTTTTTATTACGTTCTTGTGATGTGCATGAGTATTGTGTGTGTACTTGTGCATTTGCTGTTACTAACTGCCTGAACCTGTTTTTATTCATATTGTAGGCAGTCGGCCATGATGCTATGCTTATACCGTCCGATCCCACACTTCATTTTTCTCAAAAAAGGACTCTTAGACGGTCAGTGGCCTTTATGTATATGCTGGCGTTTGGGGGGGGGGATATTGTTTCGCTGGTCCTGTTTGTGCGGTGACTATTTACATAATTGTAAAACAGCACAGATGAGTGAACCTACTGCCTAGGATAATGTGAAATAATGCAGCTGTGTTTATTTAACAATGCTGTCAGGGTTTAATTTCAATTTGAAGGTTTGGGAATCAAGAGACTGAATTGGATTGGACATATGTAGCTACATGGCGCACATTCAAGTGAACGTTCATGCAGCGCATCTGCAACTATCGTAATACACTGGTACTTTTGTGGTTGAACATGTTTTGCAGATGGGCTGTCTTACTTCTGCTATGTGTGCTAGTGGGCGTTCCTACATTTGTTCTGAAGTTCACACCTGCTCCGAAACATGAATCAAACAACGGCACCATTCAAGAGTGGTGGCCCATTACCAGAGGCCTGTCTGTTGTCGATTTGCTTCTTTTCCTCTTTTCTACCATTATTCAGGTCAGATTTGAGTGCATAATTATCAATATAAACCAGTGCAATAAAAGTTACAATGTGCACGCAACGAGTGGGGTCTGTTCCAAGTTTCATTGGGTATTGAACTAAAGCAAACTCATGCTACCACGCCTGACTGACTTGTAATGTGCTCGCTATGTGTAAACAGTACTCTGGGTGCAAGGGGAAGGGTTTGGGTATTAAGTCCAGGAGTACTTAGTACTTGAGTAAACTGTTTATACAAGTACCCATACACTTTTGTGACAGACACAGCTCACTCTGGGTTCATGCTTTTGAACAGGCCAGGGATAGTATTGGTTTGATCTAAACACCCAATAGTAGTGTATACCCATATCAAGTCTTTGTCATGGGTTGGTGAGTTTGTAGGACTTTTCGTAATCTGTCCAGGATGCTCGACAGCAACACAAATTCTTGGATTGTCAATAATGTCACACCTTCCTTTTTCTGTGTTTAAAGGTGGTTGTTGGCTATCCGTTTTACAAGTCCTGCTTCAAGAGCCTGGCTCACAGGTCAATGGGGATGGATATGTTGATTGCAACGGCCACATCAGTGGCCTATGTCTACTCGGTTGCTGCTCTGATCACAAACATGGTCACTGGATTGGATTATGAGCTCTTCTTTGATAGTGGTCCACTTCTTTTACTCTTTATATCACTTGGGAAACTTCTGGAACATATAGCCAAGGTACAACTTAGCTGTGTATGACTGTGCATTCAACAACAACCCCGTGACGACAACAACCCTGTACATATTTCAAATCCCTGGTGGTCAGAAATGTTCATAAGTGCTAGTGGATAGATTCCCAGTCCAATAGTAGACAACTTCTGTGGAAGTGTATGATCGTGTTTGTTGATGTGACACTTTCTATTTCTACTGATAGGGCCAAACTACAAATGCTCTCTCAAAACTCCTATCACTGCAACCAACAGAAGCTGTCCTGCTTTCTCATGATGATGAAAACGTTTTCAGGTAGGTAATCAGCTGTCATAGGTATTATGTTGTATTGTTGTTAATTCAGGGAAGAAAGAATCAGTGTGGATTTAGTGCAAAAGGGTGACAAGTTAAGAATCGTACCTGGTGACAAGATCCCAGTGGATGGCTGTGTGGTGGGGGGGACTTCTATGATTGATGAGTCCCTCATCACTGGCGAACCTCTGCCAGTTCTCAAGAGGGAGGGAGACCCTGTCATTGGAGGTTCCATTAACCAGAATGGTGCACTTGTAATAGAGGCTACTCATGTTGGCTCTGATACAATGTTGTCACAGATTGTTAACCTTATTGAAGAAGCTCAGACATCAAAGGTTATAATAAGTGTATGTAAACATAGATTTATACAAATGCTGCAGCCCCAGAACCTGTAAATTTTCTACTAAGTTTAATTTCCTTTGTTGCTGTGTCATAATGGTTGAGTGTATGGGTCTCTGCATGCATTGTCACATGGTGATGCTGTTATCAGTGGAAATTACTTTTCATCACATTTTAGGCACCTATTCAACGTATTGCTGATAGAATGGCTGGAGTGTTTGTGCCATTCATTTTGACATCATCTTTGATTACATTTGCTGGATGGATGACAGCCATCGGTGTCTGTATAGGAACAAAAGAAGACATAACAGTATGTATAAGATATAGAATAGGTGTATACGGTAGCCTAAATGTGCCGACAAGTGATGACACAAATCCAAGCCCTCAGGACCCACCCTGGGTAACATGCACACATGAAGAGAATGCGACAAAATACAAATGCTTTAATATACATGTGATCACAATGGTAAACCTATGTACTGCACATTAATTATTTATAAGCCTCATTACAATATTCATTTACCCAGGAGGTTATGTGATACAATTATATTTCATTTCCAATTATGATGACATCCACTAATTCTCTGCAGTTCAACAGCACAAACGTCTCGAGTAACGACACACTGGCCTCCGGAGAGACTGAGTGCTACTCTGTGGCACTAGCATTCCTTCATGCAATTTCAGTACTTGTGATTGCCTGTCCCTGTGCCCTGGGCTTGGCCACACCCACTGCAGTGATGGTGGGTACAGGAGTTGGAGCCAGGAAGGGGATTCTCATAAAGGGAGGAGAGCCATTGGAGAACCTGTGCAAAGTAAGTGGTAGTGGAGTACCGAAGGTCAACTGTGTTGTATGTCTCCCTGGAGCAATCAGACAGTTTACCTTGATTATTTTACCTATCAGATAAAGGTTGTTGTGTTTGATAAGACTGGAACTCTGACCTATGGCAAGCCAGAGGTGAATTGTGTAATAAAGAGTGTGTCGGAGGCTATGCTGCCCTTGAGGACCTTTATTGGTGTTGTGGGCTTGGCAGAGTGCTGCAGTGAGCATCCACTTGGACTCGCAATATCCAACTTTGCTAAAAAGGTGAGCTTTCTTTATGAAAACCACACTTTTACCTTAAAAATAAAAGGCATCAATTAGGCTTCAACATGCACAATCATAACAGCTTACTTATTAGGTAGGACTAATGTGTCAGCAAGCTCATAACGGTGGCGATTATATACAGACACAGGCAGTAATTGCATGGATGTGTATACGTATTACAAAAAATAGTCAGGAACACAGCAGCCAAAGTGTATATAGAGCAAGAATTGCAGTGCAGCATCATCTGAGATCCAGCTAGCAAAAAAAGGCACAGTGTGTGCCCAGGCTTTGGGTACCATGGACGGTTTCATACGTACCACTACTTGCTCACCCAAGTTTGTTTTACTTCGCAGTGGGTAATACAAATTTCAACCTCAATATTGACCGACAGAAAGCGGAATGCAGTGGGAATCCTCATACAAAGTATATAGCTAGTCGAAGTTTCTACAAGCACGGTTGCCATGCATGTTAGTAACTGTAGCTAGCAGTATAAGCAGTTGAAAGTTGAACACTTCCGTGACTACAGCAATTCGTACAGCTTTACAACATTATTAAGCACATCATATCATACTTACTTGTTCACAAATGTGGTAAATCTACGAATTAGGTGTTCGGAGATGGACTGAGTGGAGTGTGCACTAATTATCATGCAGAACCTGGTCTTGGCCTCAGCTGCAGTGTGAAGTTATCAGCCCTGCCCTCTGTAATAGATAAAACAGCACTCCTTCAGTGCGTGAGACTACCAGTTACTGGCTCTCCAACCAACCAACCCCTGGTGGACCTAGACCATACATACCAGGTGTGACATGGGGAGGTGAAATCCCCAAGTCTCTCTTATCTACTAGCAAAATGTCACTGCTAGATTGAGATGAAATTTCCCCCATTTCTCTCTTACATCACTGTGTTTATATACGTATGTTTGTTTTGTTACCATGATTACTAATGTATGCTCCTATATACGTATATAACTGGTGGTCTCATTGATGGTTCATCAGGAATGCAAGCATATGCTTTCATTATGACTTTTCACTACACCAAGAGTCAAAAGTGGATGTGTTATGCGAACCAACCATGTTTACATGCAGGTTCTGATTGGAAATCGGCTGTGGATGACGTCAAATGGTATTGATATTGATCAGGAATTGGAACGAAGGATAACTTCATATGAACAGAGGGGACAAACAGTTGTGCTGACTTCCATTGCTGGTATGTTATGAGTTACCGGTTCATACGAATAAATCAGCAAATCTTAACAGATTTAGTATTAAGCAGAGTTACCTAACCTTCTGTACGCAACTTCCGCGTGCAGTGGAGGCAAGTTAGAGGTAGTCCAATGTTGCCCCAAACACTACCAAATGATGAAAAGATGGATTCTTGGTCAAAGTACTTTTTAAAAAACCCTCTGCAGCCACCTATAATAGCTGGTAGTGTTTTAGCAATGCTGACTTGACGTATTACTTGTTCATAGTAGGGTCGACAAAAAACCTGGTCGAGGTTACTCAGTGCTTGGCAGAGTAGAACTCATTTTGCAGTCTTGTAGCACCCAATGCTCATTGCTATATTATGTATGTTGCACACACAACATTTTAAGCTTTAATGGATGCAAAACGTTAATGTTAATGTTATCTGTGTTGGTACAACAAATTGCGGTTATTTGTAAAGAAATGCAATGCACGACTTATGCAGGTATCCTGGTGGGAGCAGTAGTAATTCACGATAAGGTCAAACCTGAGGCTCGGCAAGCAATCAAGTGTCTGCAGTCCATGAATGTAAAGGTTGCTCTTCTCACTGGGGATAACCGTAGAACTGCACTGGCAATTGCACAAGAAGTAAGTATTGCATATGTATTGCCAGGTACTGACCTGCACTTTTTTAACAGGTTGGAATACCAGAGGGAAATGTTTGTGCTGAGGTGCTACCTTCTCATAAGAAAGACAATGTTACTTTTTTCCAAAAAGGGAACATTAAGGTTAGCTCCCTTTTGAGGTGTACACAGTTTTCCTCTGAACTCAGATACACGGTCATGCATGAAAAATAGCTCCTGCTGCGGTTTATGGCCCTGTGTCCGTATTTATGCATGTGCTGAAGTCTACTTGTGTTTATGGAAGTAGCTGTCACCTACACAATCACCCATACGTGGTCAATGGCATGGCTAAGCTTTTGGCTTTGCAATGGGGTTTCAGGACAAATACTGCGATAGGGAACATACAGTTATGCCCTAGGCCAAGTGCTTGAGCATGAGCACACAGGCAGATAAACTCCCTCAGGCAATTTTCTCATGTAATTATATTGACAGCTACTCTGCTTGTAAAATGCAAACATATGGAAGGTAGCTTAGCTAAGTAGCCTGAAATCCTACTTTCACACACAAATTCTTTCTTGCTTGCAAAGTGCTGGGGTGTAAAGTCTTGCATCGTACACCCACATTCTTTTATGGTGAAACGCGCCAAGGAGACATTTATAAAAGTTGGAGCACTTCTAGTGGGACTTGTGGTATACAGAGCAAATGTAGGCATTATGCTGAAGAAACTGATTGTATATACTACTATGCCAATGCTTATTCGTACAAGAGTATGGAGTTTTTGTATTGTGCGACCTATGACAAACATCTTGAGTTCCAGGGGGATTATTCTTTACATTTACTTAGTAAAGGATTTCAGAGCGGGAAACTTGGAATGGTAATGAAAAGCTATTGTGGGTGCATGTGAAGTGAAATAGAATTTTAATCACAGAGGATTATTCTATGTCTCCCAGGTAGCGATGGTTGGGGATGGAATCAACGATAGTCCAGCTCTGGCTCAAGCTGATGTTGGTATTGCCATTGGCACTGGAACTGACATCGCTGTAGAGGCAGCAGATGTTGTTCTTGTAAAGGTATATCTATATCTTAATGTATATCCTAAACGAAAGAAATCGTTACTCAAAGTAGGGCATATCATTGACCCTCGGTGAAGTACTTTGTGTATTTGCTTGTTAGAACTATTCGCTAGTACTGCAGTGGCAAATGAGCGATACCAATGGCCCCAGTGCTGCTATCTAGTCATGGCTTTTAAAATGGCGATATTCCTGATGTTGAGAGAACTCTGGCATAAAACATAACGGTAAAGCCGATGATGATGGCTCAGTGCACCATGGAGGTTACTCAGAGTCATTTTCAATGTGCAAAACTTTTGGTGCTGAACTTTATACCTTCAGTTGTAATTTTCACCCATAGATGATAAAATTAATGTTTGCCCACATGTACTCAGTTTGTGCTGATATCTGTACTGACACTTGAGTATGGGTTGAAGGTTTGCAGTTGCCTGAATTGTATGTTATACATGACAAATCCCCTATTTCAAGGTGCACACAAATAAAGCATGTAACTGCATGTTGCGCACAGCCTGTTGGAGCTTGCCTGTGTTTTTAATACGCTTGCTACCAGTGGTAAGTAAGAACCACACGTGATCGCTTTGGGTTCATACCAAGTTAGCAACACAGACTGATCCTGACAAATTGGCAATGCTAATTATAATTGCCCTAGCTAAAAACATCTAATTGGCGTGTCTAATGACAATGTTACACCATTAATGTGTACTAGTAGAATGCTCGCAGACTTGTGGGTTTGAATCCAACCCAGGGCAGTGAGAAAAGAGTTGTCTTTGGTGCAGGTGCTTTGCCTTTTTGCCTAGTTCTCAACACCTTGCACACACTGAGAGGGTGTGGTGTGCCTACACTGCGTCTGCTATAATGTTTAGAGGGAACCTATTTTATGGGATCAGTGGATGTAGAGACCTCAGCCATCCTTACAAAAACATTATGATAATGTTAACTTTAGTCCGCAAACAGTCACACACTGATTATTAACATCCACATATTGAGGCAAACCATTTTAAATATATTAACCTACAAAAGAACAGCTTGGACTAAACAGGCAGTTTACTTAATTTTCCCCCGGCCATAAAGCCCTTTCTCCACACCCATAAATAGCTTCCTAATAGCCCTAATGGATGACACACCGTGTATTTTAAATTTTGAGTTTATTTGCTCAACATTTTATATTTTATAGAGCAACCTGCTGGATGTGATATCATCAATCAAACTGTCAAGGAGAACTGTCAAAAAAATCAGAACCAATTTCCTTTGGGCAGTACTTTATAACTTCATTGGGGTGCCAATAGCAGCTGGTGTCCTAACTCCAGTAGGAATAACCCTGCAGCCCTGGATGGCAGCGGCTGCCATGGCTCTAAGTTCAATATCAGTCATTTGTAACTCTCTTCTCCTCCGATGTTCATGGTCATGGTAAGTACTATACATTGCAAGGCTAACTAACAGAACCACATCAATGCAACTTTGAGTGTCTGTGAATGCATCATGTTTGCCTTTGCAGCCTGTCACTGAGAAGGCAAAGGGCTGGAATTAACTCTGAGGACTCTGCAGATGAGCTTTTACAATATCCTGGCGAATCAGATAAAACTGACTGTTTGTATCAAGTCACTACTGTTTAATGTATTACCTTGTGTGCTGTATTTAGCTGGTTACAACAGCTTAAACTTCATCTTGCACGTACATGAAAAGCGGTGTGCGCATGCGCGTGTTTTCGAGGTCCTTTTCTTCAGCGTGGCTTCCTTTGAGCCTCCCCTGGAATAGTTAGCACACTCAAAAACTCCACTTCGTAAATATTCTCCAGCCGAGCGCAGGTGATAACGGCCTGCTCCTTGGCCTAAAAGCGTGGAGAGAGTAGAGTAGCCTATGCCATGTAGGTTAGATCCAAAGTCAAAGTCAATTATAATGGTGACATTGATCGGCTCTCTGGCAAGCCGTTGGACAACATACATCTGTCTGCTGGGTGTAACAGTCTCGCGACTAGGTCATCTAGTCTCGCGGAGCCAGCACCGCGCGACACCTGGTAGGTTTTGTTCACAGCACCAGAAGAGCGAGCCTGTTTGAGTTGAACAGAGAGTAGTTCTTGCTGTTTCAAGTCGCCTAGAGCTCGCTGTTAACTTACGCATGCGCACACCGCTTTAAGGGACAAGAAGCGTGAAAACCGCTGTAGCTCGGGCGAAGCTGCATCGCTCACCGAGTGGCCGTTGCTTTTATCATCTCTATGATGGAATTCTCTGTGTTGTTAGCATTGGTCGTCTCATCGGCCGTGGACGTGAGAGTAGTGAGAGGTGGAGTTTACACGACTTACCACTGGTAGCTAGCTAGCTGTGGTATTTGACGTACTGCGATTTGATGGATAGTTTGTGGTATGTGTTTCAGGCATATGCAGCAACCAATCTACTGGCCGGATAAAATACCGAGCAACACAAGAACCTACCAGAAGGCTTTTGATTCACTTCAGCTCCAATCCAGCCAAGGCAACCACCCTCAGCAGAACATTGATGATATCTTTGGAAAAGGTGAGCGTTTTTGACTGCATGGAGCCTGCTAAATTGTTAGTTTCTCCACGGACCCAGTGTGTTTAGCGTAGTATAATTGCAGATGATAGAGTGAATGACTACCAACACTATGCTCTGGATGCTGTTCGGAGCTGTGAGCAGTATCAGGATATGGGTGCACAGGTGGCTTAGTCTTAGCTATTTCTGTTCCATGCATGGCTCACCATCACAATGATTTGCAATAGGTGAGCTTCAGTGGCTGCCTAATAGAAAATCTGAATAACTTGGCTGAGAATAATCACATATATGCTCCTGGGTGGAACAAAGAATATGCATCAGCCATAAATTCGCTCAGGACCTCTGGGGGCTTCCCGAAACTGGATTTTGTGGCATTCACCTACCATCATGTTTTAACCACTTTGACAGATAGGTTAGAATTGTTAACAGATATGAAGTATGTAACTGTGTAACTTTTGTAGAAATGCACTAGCGAAAGAACTGGGAATCCACAGACTTATCTATAGCAAAACATGGGATAATGCAAGCTATTCAAAAGGCAAGCACACAAGTATATACAGTTAGATATTCACAATGGTGTGACAGTGTGAGTTATGTTTAAGGTAATATCATTGTATTTGCTACAACTCTCACAGGCCTTTTCCCAGCAGAGATGGTATTCACAGAAAGAGCCTGGTGGAAGCTGGTATAGAGTGGGTTATAATCACATATCAAGAGCTTGCAGAGTAGGCAAATAAAGTCATTTTACCTCTTGATAGTTTTATTACCTTCATGATAAAGGGTTATCCATACTCACCACATGGAGACAATAACAGCCCACCAAACCCAGCTGATCAGGTAAAACTTAGTAATACTTGATTGGTATGTTAATGACTCTCAGGTTAATCCAGCCCAGTCTGCTTACTTCAAAGAGTCAATTTCAAGAGGCTGTACTCCCAACAATGCTTATCCGTTCTCATATCGGCCTCACTATGCTCAGTATGTGGACCCAGAGACCGGAAATGTTTCCAAAATAATAGTAGTCCCTGCAGCAATGGTAAACGACCACCCTTAGTGTGTCGATAACCTACCTGACAATACTTTTTAGGCCATGAGTTGGGTAGATGGATATGAGTGCTATGGCATTCAGGACATTCAGAAGATAGCGGGCAGCAGTGAGCCTGACCACCCTTTACTTATCTTACTAGCCCATGATGGAGACAATGCATTTGGTGGAGGATATTCATACTATGAGCAGTGTGTGAAACAGTTTGTTGATCAAGCAGAGGAAGAGGTATTGACACAGACAGCTATACTATACAACCAAGCTTGTGGTTAATGTATGCTACCGGTCTATAGGGATACACAGCAAGTACAATCCAGCAGTACTTGAGTCAGTTCCCAGTCGATGAAGAAGATATCATTCATGTGGAAGATGGAGGGTGGGTTAATCCTGATGGAGATTTTGGTTCTCCTCAGAGCCTCCAATGGAACTATCCACTGCAACCCAAGGATGCTCAGGTTTCTATTTCCTTTCGCACACATGTAAAACAGCTGTCATGTAATGCTTCAGGCTGGGCAGTTTGATATTGAGAATGGCTGGTCGTTGGATGAGAGGAACTGGGCAATACTCACAGCCACTGAAAACACTGTGGAGACAGCGGAGCAGGCAAGTAGTCAGTGTGAAGGACATATTTATTTCTATGTCTACAGATGTCGGGAGGAGTGAGGCTGAGTGAGATACAGGAACCTTCACCAGATGCTACAGTAAACACTACACTAATAATTGTTCATTAGGTTATTGAACTAATAAAAAACACAGGATGCAGAGCTTGCCTGGCACTTTTTCTTGCCTGGGCTGACCTCAGGCTACATGTACTATGGCGGGTCTCAAGACATGCCAGTGAAACAGACTGTTGCATGCAATAATGCAGTCAGTCATGCAAACTCTTCAATTTCCAAGTAAGATAATAAATATTAATCATCAGTATTAAAATCAATACTGGAATAAAGACATAGTACAGTAGGAGACAAGACTCCTCCTACTGTGTGGACACTGCAGCGTCTCCCCTGGAACCCCGGTGGATGTGGAATGGGAGAACTATGGGGATACAAGTATACTCCAATGCCCACGTATGTCATTCAATGTGAAGCATAATCTTACATGTCACTGTTAATGGCAGCGACTTCTATATCTGGACATTTGCATATGATGTTTCTGGAATAAAGAATGTCACATTTCAGTATCGTGAGGACAAAGATGGGATAAACCCAATCAGTGATACAAACAATGAAGTGTATCAGTCTGACTTGGAAAATGTAGGCCCCTGGATATCTATGGCGATGGTACACCGTATTTTCCCAAAGGTGATCAGATGAATGTTAATGATTGTGTGGATGAGGAATTTTTTCACAGGGGAATATTTATAAAGCTTCAATAGACCTCACTTGTAACAGCAGTGGGCAAGTTTGCATTCCATCCATCATTGCCGATGAATATTGGGTGAAGGTAATAGAGAATACCGTAGTGTGGCATGTTGTTAATAAATCACATTGTATCCTGTAGATTACATCCCTATCAGATACTCTGATTGACTATTATGTTTCGGCAACAGACACACTTGGAAATGTTAAGAAGACGGACATTTACCATGTTTATATAGGCAATGGAACAGCAACTTGTACAGATTAAGCTCATTGGCAAATGACTATAATATGCACAAGAGACTTTATAGAGTTGTGATTTCGGTGTTCATAGACATTGTGATGTATAGTTACATTACTCTTTGAGTGCATCGTGATTGGGACCGTACTGCTGCCACAGTGTCCGGAAGAAACGCTAGCACTCCTCAATGCAAGGTAGCAAATAGAAGACCCATGTTGGGTGCTATAATTTATCATACGTATATAGAGATATTGGGTTCTGTTGTGACTGTGTAGTAATTATAATTATGGTGCTGAGAGCATGATGGCATCATGGGATTTAAGTTTTTGGACAACCTTTTTCAGACTATGGCACGAATTAATGTTAGGAAGACGTAAAATTCTTGCTGGTCCTTTGTTTTCAAATCCTTGGGTCTGTCAATATCTTTCAAGGTTCCACAGTTGGGTTCTAAAGCTGATCGATGAATGCTACCAGGATGATATAATGTAGAATTTATTCACAACGGTACAACAAAGTGGCTGTTGAGCTATAATCTAGGTAGATGAGGGATTAATTCTTCGGTGCGACTAGTTTGTTAACAGATAAATTATGGTGCTAAGTGGCCATACAGCAGAATAATATCTGCCTCAAACACACAATTTTAGGTCAAACTCACACTTAAAACCCTGACAACCCTTAAAACCCTGTTAAATAAACACAGCTGCATTATTTCACATTATCCTGGGCAGTAGGTTCAATCATCTGTTCTTTTACTATTATGTAAAGTTCAGCTAAAACAAGAGGATTAATTGGACTCTGAAGAACGAAATGAGTGTATAGAACCGTTGAAGTTGTTCACCGTGGTTAATTGCAAACTTATGTGATTCAAGTGAGTTTACGACCCATAACCATCCTTAGAGAGCGATGAAACTGAAACATGCGAAACTTTCTTACAGATTTCACCATACTCTAAGTCTGTTGTGGTTTGATTCCGAAATTATCTTATTCGTCTGATGGAGAAGTCATTAAACAGTAAGTGTTGTTTAAGGACTCATTCAAGAACAGAATTAGTGTAAGTAACTTTTGAAGTTCTCCACCGTGAGTATTTGCAAACTTATGCGATTCATAATTAGTTTTGGACCCACCACCATTCTTAGAGAGCGATAAAACTGAAACATGAGAAACTTTCTTATAGATTTCACCTGTATGCATACTCTAAAGTCTGTTGTGGTTTGATTCCGAAATTATCTTCTGTGTTGGATGGAGAAGTCGTTAAACAGAAGTGTTGTTTAAGGACCAATTCAAGTCCAGCTGAAACATGAATGAGGATTAGCGTAAGGAACTGGAAGGTCTCCTCCTGATAAATTGCAAACTTATGCGATTCAAAATGAGTTTAGGACCCACAACCAACCTTAGAGAGCGATTAAACTAAAACATGCGAAACTTTCTTACAGACCTCACCTGTATGCATACTCTAAGTCTGTTGTGGTTTGATTCCGAAATTATTTTCTCTGTTGGATGGAGAAGTCGTTAAACAGTAAGTGTTCTTTAAGGACCCATTAAAGTCCAGCTGAATCATGAGGATTAATTGGATGCTGACGAAGAATAGAATGAGTGTAAGAAACTGTTGAAGTTCTCCACTGTGGTTAACTGAACACTTGTGATACAAAGTGGGTTTAGGACCCACAAACACTCCTTCACAGTGATGCGAAGAAAACATTGAACACTTTATTACAGACCCCATCTATATACACACTCTATGTCTGTAGTGGTTTGATCAAGAAATGATATTCTCTGTGTGATGGAGAATTCAATAAACGGTAAGTGTTGTTCCATTTAAAAACAAGAGGATTAGTTGGACACTGATGAAAAACGGAATGAGTGTAAGGAACTATTGAAGAACTTATGCGATTAAAAATGAGTTTAGGACCAACAACCATCATTAGAGAGTGATAAAACCAAAACATGCGAAACTTTCTTACAGATTTCACCTGTATGCATACTCTAAGTCTGTTGTGGTTTGATTCCGAAATTATCTTCTCTGTTGGATGGAGAAGTCGTTAAAAAGCATTCAAGAACAGAATGAGTGTAAATAACAGTTGAAGTTCTCCACCGTGATTAATTAAAAAGTTATGTGATTGAAAATGAGTTTAGGACCCACAACCATTCTTTGAGAGCGATGAAACGTGTGAAACTTTCTTACAGATTTCACCTGTATGCAAAAAGGAAGAACCTTTTCCTTAAAAAGCTTTAACCTCTATAATAATACAGGTGTGAAAGTTTGTGTCCACTGCATACTGAGCTGAGAAAGCAGGAGGAGAGCAGAGAACTAGAGAGAGTGTAGAAGAGAGAGAGCGGAGAGAGCGCGCTGTGCGCGCAGGCGCGAGCGTTCGGCAGTCGGCGAAGGGTTAAACACATTTGCGTGGGTCCTTAGGTCGGGTCCTTTGCTATACTGTAATACCTGCACAGTTGAACAAACATGAGCACCTTTACATGCATGTAATAATGGTAATGTTAACTAGTTACAGTCATTACAAAATTAAAATTAGCTTACATAACACAATGAATCTATGTTCAACAGTATAGTGGGAAGTTTATACACTTAGTGCTGTTTCTGTTGAGCTTGAAACTGTATGATGTATTTCCAGGTAGAAGCAGTTTGAGCCAGGGTGATGTCTTCAGGGAGTTCATCAAGATCTAGTGAAGGGTCCAGGTTGCTGGCCTCAAGATGAGGTGGAAGGGTGTCCACCAAACTAAAAAGAGCAAAGAAAAAATGGAAAGAGGTTTCGTGAAAATATTGGAGCATACAAACACCATAGTATATACCTGTAAGCAGACAGAAAAGGAGCATTAGAGCAAGCAAGTTCAACAATGTCAGCATGGTTATGCAGCACCCTGACACTCATGAAATGCTCTCACGAAACAATCCCAACATTGAAATAGTCCCAAGAAACAATCCCAACATTGTTACTTGGTGTGCCTCGTGGCAACTCTCTACGACTATGTTGGAGGTAGGATCACTCGTAGGCTGGGACTAGAAACCTTATTGAGCAAAAAGGAAAACAAGAACATGGTACATACCCCAAGAGAAATGAAAAGCACTAAAGTGAACCCTCAGCGAACTAGAACCATGTGTGTATATGTATACGATCACAATATACATCTATGACGCTAGGTACCATGCCAATCCTTATACTGATAATCTTGCTCCTGATCTCACACTTGGTAGACTGAGAGAATGTTGATGAGTGAAGAAGAGGAAGAAGGGTAGAAAAATGCCTACCAATGAGATTCCAACCCCCCACCTTTAGCTATTTGGACAAGTGCGTGCTATGGGAGGGGTGCAGATGGTAGGGGTATTAACTAGGTTAATGCAGTGAATTTTTGGCGAGTGGGAGCGGTCCAACTAACGGTTGTGTGCGTGCCAAATAGTGGTTACGTCTCCGATCCGCCGGTCAGCGGTTCTTATCCAGATGATCATGCTGCACGCCACGCTCTCTCCCGTGCCCTACGTTGTGACAGGTGCGTCTCCCTCTCCTTGGTCGTCCCAGAAGCAAGACGCACCCTACGTTGTGACAGGCACATCTCCCTCTCCTCGGCCGTCTCAGAAACAAGACGCTGTCTCCCAACCATCGCTACCTGGGAGACATAGAATAATCCTCTGTGATTAAAATTCTATTTCATTTCACCTGCACCCACAATAGATTTTCATTACCATTGCAAGTTTCCCGCTCTGATAATCATTTACTAAGTAAATGTAAAGAATAACCTCCCTGGAACTCAAGATGCTTGTCATAGGTTGCACAATACAAAAGCTCCATACTCTTGTACGAATAAGCATTGGCATAGTAGTATATACAATCAGTTTCTTCAGCATAACGCCTACATTTGCTCTTAGGTGTATACCCCAAGTCCCACTAGAAGTGCTCCAACTTTTAGAAATGTCTCCTTGGCCAAGTTACTGTTTCGCCATAAAACACCCCAGGCACTTTGCAAGCAAGAAAGAATTTGTGTCTGAAAGTAGGATTTCAGGCTACTTAGCTAAGCTACCTTCCAAGTGTTTGCATTTTACAAGCAGAGTAGCTGTCAATATAATTACATGAGAAAATTGCCTGAGGGAGTTTATCTGCCTGTGTGCTCATGCTCAAGCACTTGGCCTAGGGCATAACTATGTTTCCTATCGCAGTATTTGTCCTGAAACCTCATTGCAAAGCCAAAAGCTTAGCCATGCCATTGACCACGTATGGTTGAAGTTGCAGGGTGATTGTGTAGGTGACAGCTACTTCCATAAACACAAGTAGACTTCAGCACATGCATAAATACGGACACAGGGCCATAAACCGCAGCAGGAGATATTTTTCATGCATGACCGTGTATCTGAGTTCAGAGGAAAACTGTGTACACCTCAAAAGGGAGCTAACCTTAATGTTCCCTTTTTGGAAAAAAGTAACATTGTCTTTCTTATGAGAAGGTAGCACCTCAGCACAAATATTTCCCTCTGGTATTCCAACCTGTTAAAAAAGTGCAGGTCAGTACCTGGCAATACATATGCAATACTTACTTCTTGTGCAATTGCCAGTGCAGTTCTACGGTTATCCCCAGTGAGAAGAGCAACCTTTACATTCATGGACTGCAGACACTTGATTGCTTGCCGAGCCTCAGGTTTGACCTTATCGTGAATTACTACTGCTCCCACCAGGATACCTGCATAACCGCAATTTGTTGTACCAACACAGATAACATGAACATTAACGTTTTGCATCCATTAATGCTTAAAATATTGTGTGTGCAACATACATAATATAGCAATGAGCATTGGGTGCTACAAAACTGCAAAATGAGTTCTACTCTGCCAAGCACTGAGTAACCTCGACCAGGTTTTGTCGACCCTACTATGAACAAGTAATACGTCAAGTCATTGGTAGTGTTTGGGGCAACATTGGACTACCTCTAAGTTGCCTCCACTGCACGCGGAAGTTGCGTACAGAAGGTTAGGTAATACTAAATCTGTTAAGATTTGCTGATTTATTTGTATGAACCGGTAGCTCATAACATACCAGCAATGGAAGTCAGTACAACTGTTTGTCCCCTCTGTTCATATGAAGTTATCTTTCGTTCCAATTCCTGATCAATATCAATACCATTTGACGTCATCCACAACCGATCTCCAATCAGAACATGCATGCAAACATGGTTGGTTCGCATAAAACATCCATTTTTGACTCTTGGTGTAGTGAAAAAGTCCTTATAATATGCTTGAATTCCCGATCAACCATCAATGAGACCACCATGTATATACATATATAGGAGCATACATTAGTAATCATGGTAACAAAGCAAACATAATAATATAAACAGTGATGTAAGAGAGAAATGGGGGAAATTTCTTGTTTTTTGTCCTTGTCCTCCAGCTGAAGTTATAACATGACACACATATAATGATACATATTATAACAAGACATGAGATCAACTCAAATCTAGCAGTGACATTTTGCTAGTAGATAAGAGAGACTTGGGGATTTCACCTCCCCATGTCACACCTGGTATGTATGGTCTAGGTCCACCAGGGGTTGGTTGGTTGGAGAGCCAGTAACTGGTAGTCTCACGCACTGAAGGAGTGCTGTTTTTATCTACTAAGAGGGCAGGGCCGGCTAACCCCCTACAGGAAAATGTTAATGTTCTAATATTTTCTCTTGTAGCTCGGCGGAGGTGTGCATCGAACGCAAGCTAACAATATTCTCCTACCACTAGCACCTACGGCAGATCGTGGAACTCTCAGCAGTGCAAGACGATCAACGACGCCACCTTGCTGCATATATTATGCGCAGATAGGGCGTTGTCCCGGATGTGCGGAGTTAATTCATGAGACTGTGTTGGTATAATGTTAGAGCGTCCCCGCGGTTTGATGGTCAACCTCTGCACAATATTGTAATGCGCATGCCATGTTGTCAGAGCCCCAGCAGACATAAACACACACAAAGCTACATGATATATACCATTCCTTTGTCCTATAGAGTCATAGGCATTATGCCAGACAAAGGTAGCTTTGTATGTCTCTGCTGTCTAACCCTTATCCTTCCTTTTCTGTGCTTCGAGCCATCCCTCTATAATTATATATATAATATACACCCCTTCATTTCAAAGATTAATTAATGATTTTTCCACTTGTATACACACACTGATGAAAATTCAAACATTAATAGTTCCTGCTCTAATGAGCAGAGCCATAGGCCTGATTATCTGAGAGATGGAAATTATTGAGAGATGGCACATCATAGATATTCCCTGGCAGATCCTCCTGTCGAATACATCTCTTTATCAGGCACCACATTCCACAGCAGCCGATGACCACACCCACTGGCAGGACCACCAGTAGAGAGATGACCACTGCAATACCTGTAGCTAGTCCCACTGAGAGACCATTATTACACTCCTCTGATCTGTTCATGCTGGGTGCTGCATTGGTGTGTGCTGACTTCAACAGTGAGAAACAAACTACACTGAGGAGGACTTACTGAGAGTTGGTGTTGAATCAGATGGTTGTGTTGGCTCTGTTGCAGTCACTGGAGGTGATATGCGTGTTGACCAATTACACACATCTACATAGTTAACTCACTTAAGGAAATGTGGCAAATTCAGAAACTTTTACTAAAAGGAACAACATTCTTGTACTCTGCCCTTTCTTAACTTGGCCCTTATGTACTGATACATTGCCTTTAACTAATGCCCACAAAAACACCTCCAAGAGTATAATATAGCTTTGACTTTATATTTATCAGCTTGTCATTTTGAGAATGAGAGGGAAACTATCTTCAGTATACATAGGAGTCACACTTATTTATAGCTACTCACTGAAGGTCTGAATGTGGGAAGAAGAGTTCCCAGAGTCTCCATCATCCACAAAGACCAGGAGACT